TGCTTGTCATTGTTGTGGTTATTGGGCCTTAAAACTGTGGTTGGACCATCAATTGATGTTCTTCCTTACCAATTTGCATAGTGTCCTCAGAAACTATGAGAGCTAGCCTTCAGGGCTTCCAGGTCAGTTCCAGCTGCATTGCTCTAAGTCCTATGTCAGAATTATGTCCTCTCCTCAGCAATAGAGTCTTATTTTCTGAGAGGAAATAAAGGGCTATGTCAATAGCCTGTGCAAATCAGGGAGTTTCTTGGATTATCCTGACCAACAACTTGAAAGGATGTTTCTCCTGTATGGCAATGTTTCTTATTGTTTAGCTTTCAGCTGTACAATGGACACATGTAGGGATATTTTATGTGTAGTTTTCCAGTAGGCTTTTGAATTAATCCATTTTACTCTCTCTCTCTCTCTCTCTCTCCCTGTCTAACCCTCCTTCTTACCTCCCCAGTTAAAGTGCCCCTATTTTCCCCATTTCCCCCTTGATAATACCTGTCTCCTATGATTCCCCATCTCTCCTGAACTCCTTTCACTTTACCCCACGGTTTCTGGTATAACCCTCCCTTTTCCCCTCCCAGCTAAATACCTTCATTTTCCCCATTTCACCCTTGGGAACACCTGCCTCCTACTATCCCTCTTTCTCATTCTCTTTCTTTCCCTTTACCTCCATGGTTTCTTTACATTTTCCTGGCTCCTGAAGTTACATCGGGATATATACTCACAATTAAGTATTTAGTGATAAGATCCACAAATAAGGAAGAACATACATCATTTTTTCTGAGTCTATGTTACTTCACTTAGTATAACAGTTTCTAGTTCTATCCATTTACCTGAAATTTTCATGATTTCATCTTTCTTTACCCCGGAGTAGAACTCCATTTTGTAAATTTGCCATATTTTCAGTACCCATTCATCAGTTGAGGAAAACTTAAGATTGCTTTGGTTTCTTAGCTATTGTGAGTATGTGCCAAGGAGTGGTATAACCAGATAACATGGTATATTTATTATTTTTTTAAGAGTTACACACACTGATTTCTATAGTGTTTAACTTCTTAAAGAATCAGCTCTTAGATTCGATTCCATTGTTTACTTTGCTTAAATTTCATTGATTTCTGATCTGAGTTTTTATTTCTTTTCATCTGCTTGGTTTGGGTTTAGTTTCTTCATGTCATTCCAGAGTCTTGAGCTATATTTTTAAGTCATTTATTTGTGCTCCTTCTGGGTTTATTTTTTTCAATGTAGGCACTTAGAGTTATAAACTTCCCTCTTAGGACTGCTTTTAAAGTGTCCCAGAGGTTTTGTTGTATTGTATTCTCTCGTTCATTTAGTTCCAGGAATACTTTTATTTATTTCTTCTTTGACCCATTCATCATTCAGGAGCATGCTGTTCGATCTCCTTTTGTTTGTGTAGTCATTAGAGCTTCTTTTAATGTTGATTTTTTGCATTATTGCATTATGGTCTAATAGACTACATGGAATTATTTCAACTTTCTGTATTCGTTGAGGTTTGTTTCAAGCCCCAGTATGTAGTCAGTTCTAGAGAAATGTCCATGGGCTCCAGAATAGACAGTGTATTCTTTGCCGCTTTGGTGGAATATTCAGTAGCTCTCTGTTAAGTCTGTTTGGTGTATGCTATCACTTAATCCAGATGGGTCTCTGTTTATTCCTTGTCCAGTTGACTTGTCTATTGGAGATAGTGGGGTATTGAGGTCAGCTACTCTTACTGAGTTGGGGTTAATCTGTGTCTTAAAGTCCTATGGTAATGTTTTTGTGAATTTGGGTTCACCATATATATTCATGATTGTAATGTCTTCTTGGCCAATGGTTCCTTTGATGAGAATGAAGTGACCTTCTGTATCTCTTCTGATTAGTTTTCATTTGAAGTTCATTCTGTCAGATATTAGAGTTGGCAACACGTGCTTGCTTCTTAGTTCCGTTTTCTTGGAGTTATTTTTTTCCATCCTTTCACTGTAAGGTAGTGCCTGTCCTTGAAAGTGATATGAGTTTCTTACAGACAACAAAAAGATTGATTTTGTTTCTTAATTCATTCAACTAGCCTGTGTCTTTTGAGTGTGGAGTTGAGATTATTGATATTTAAAGTTATTGAGAGATGTGTATTCGTTACTGTCATTTTGATTTCTGTTTACAGTCTTGGTCCAATTTGTGTTTCCACGATTACACCTTCATTTATTTTCTTTCTGTTGCCTCTTGGGTATAAATTTTCCTTCCTTCAGTCCTTTGAACTGCATCAAGTATTCTCTGTAGTGCTGGTTTCATGGACATGAATTTTTCAGCCCATTCAAGTCATGGATGATTTTTCTTTCCCCTTCAACTATAATAGACCATTTTTCAGTAAAGTATTCTGGGTTGGCATCTATGATCATTTAGAACTTGGTATACTTTGCTCATAGTTTGCATTGGAAAGTCAGCTGTAATTCTATGGGTTGTCATTGTTTTTCTCTTGAAGTTTTCAGTATTCTCTCTTTGTTTTGTGCATTTAATATTCTTACTATGACCTGCTGTGAGGAGTTGACCTGGCTTCTTCTCCTTCCTCTACTCCAGTCATGCGTAAATTTGGCCTTTCCGTGGTGTCGCACAATTCCTGCATATTCCATTCCTGTTTATTTTTTAATTTTTTATATTCTTTTTTAAGCATTCCAATTCTTCAATTTTGTCATCCAGTCTTGATATTCTCTTTTCCATTTCGTTCATTATGCTTGTGAGCCTTTCTCCTGTCATTTTTTGGCTTATTGAATTTTTCACTTCCTTCTTCATCTCTGCCTGAGTTTTTTCAATTTTTCTACCTCGTCTGAATTCTGACAAATGTTTATTTGTACCCTCTTTTGGTTCCTTGAGTTGTCTGTGTATTCTTTAATTTTGTTGAATTCTTTGATCATGTTTATGATTGTTCTTTTAGATTCTGTGTCTTGGGTCTCCTCTAGGGAGTTCTCATTGTAGAACTCTTCTATAGGACTGGTGGTGTTTGGGGAGACATATTATTTTTGTTTTTCATATTGTTATGTTTTATTATGGTTTTGTCTTGTGAATATCTTTTGGTGCTTGTGATTCTTGTGTGAAACTCAAGCCTGCCTTTATTGATTTGGTTTTTTATTCTGATTGTATTATCGATGTATCTTGGTTACTTTCTGATTGCATTTGAAAAATTAGTTGTTCTAGGCTTTGGCTTTTCTCTTTTGATTTTATATTGGAGGGACCAGATGGGTCTATGCAGGCTACTCAGAAGCTCTCCAGGAGGGCGAAGCAGCCTTGGCTAGTTAGGCACACTTCAGTAGCCTCAGAGGGATAGTGCCAAGTCCAGAGGAGAGAGAATGGGAAAGGGATGTGCAGGTCCCTATTAGCCAACAGGGAAGCCTGAGGCCTGGAGCAGTGGGAGGGACTGCAGATGTTCCCAAAACAGGGAATGGGTATGGTGGAATTTGGACAAATCACCCTGTAAGCCAAGGCAGGCTCTCATGCAGTATCTAAGGGACTAGCACGCAAGGCGAGGTGATGGGAAAAGGATATGCAGGCCCCTAATAGCAGGGTAGGATCATCCCTTTTACAAAACAAAGATATATGCCAGTAAAGAATGGAATAATCAGCAAGCAGGGCTTGGGTGGTGGCCCAAAGTGCCACTGCACAAGTATGAGGAGCTGAGCTTGACTCCCTAATACCCACCTAAAAGCCAGTACTCTCCAAACCTACACTCTGTTGAAAGTGAAAGAGAAGAAATAGAGAAATTGATAGCTGCAGTACACAGAGGCTTCCCCAGACACACCCAAGTACAAGTAGCCTAGTTATAAGTGGTGCAATTATTCTCTTCTTTATTCCACTGAATACGCCGCAGAAGCATTGAAGCACTGGAAGTAAAAGGGTAGGAAGCGACACATGACACGTACTCCTTTCACAAAGATTGCTCTTGCTCTAGTATGGGGGGAATTACCATGGATTTGGGAAACAAAGGTATGCCAGAAAAAGAGAAAACTTTATTATTATGGGGGGTGGAGGCAGAGAGAGAGAGAAAGAGAGAGAGGAAGAGACAAAGAGAGACATAGAGAGAAAGAAAGAGAGGAAGAGAGTCATGACAAGTAGGTAAGTGAGGAGGTTTCCTCTAGACTAACAGTATAGTAATGGAGTTGGCAAAAAGTTGATGAAGTCTAAGACACTGAGGATTGGCTGAATGAATATTTATTTAGTAATGAATGAGAAATATGCAAGCCACTTTCTGTTGTTCATAGGAATTGTTATTTACACTACTTTTCTCCTCACTGTGACTGAATACCTAACAGGAAGCAATGTTAAGGGGAGAAGGTTGACTTTTGCTCATGATTTGAGAACGCAGTCCATCACGACAGAGCAGACATGGAAGAGGAGCAGTTGTTGGTTGTGACTGAAGATGCAGGAGGCATCTTGCTCACATCTGTGAGGATCAGGAAGCAGAGAGAATGCTTGTACATAGCTGTCTTTTCCCTTCTTATTCTGTATCCCATGGCTTGGTGCCACCCATTTTCAGCGTAGGTCTTCCCTCTTCACTAAACCTGCCCTAGATATACCCTCATAGACACACTCAAAGGTTTGCCTCACTCGTATCCCATGTGTTGCTTAAAGCAATCAAGTTGATAATTGAAATTAATCAAACCAGGCACTTAAGGTTTGTTTTTTTCTTTGTAGTATCAGAATAAGGCCCAATGATTAGGGCTGTCTCTGTGAATGTCTGTAGTCAGTGCTGGAACAGAAAAGACAGGACCATCCTGAGTAGAGTAGAAAGCCCATGAGCACCTCAGCTGTTAAGTCATGCAGCAAGAGCAAAGGACTGTGTGCTCAGCCTTTCCTTGGTTGTGGCAAAAGGAGAGTTCAGGTGATCTGAGCAAAATCTTAGAGAATTTTTATTGAAGTCTTACAGACGGTTTGTTTTATGGAGTTTCACCTAGGTGCAAGTTGGGGTTTGAGGGTTTTTTTTCTAAATTTTGTTTCGTTTGTTTGGTTTTTGGTCACTCACTATAAAGCACCTGGTAGTACTGTGTTTCTAGAAGCTTCAAGAAACTATAGCACTAAAAAAGAATTAAAACGGATGGAAAGATGTTAAGAACACTGCTGGCTCTTGCAGAAAACCCAGGTTTGAATCCCAGCACCCACATGGCAGCTAACAACTATCCATAACTCCAGTCCTAGGGGATTTGACAACCTTTCTGACCTCCGCAGGCATTGCACGGCACGGGTGCCTACATGCATGCAGGCAATACACATATACACATTAAATAAAAATAATAAATAAAACATTAAAAAAGAAAGAATTTTAAGCCTGGCATGGTGGCACATACCTGTAGTGCCAGCACTTGGGAGGCAGAGGCAGGCAGATCTCTGTGAGTTCAAAGCCAGCCTGGTCTACAGGACAGCTGGGGCTACAGGGAGACCCTGCTTCAAAAAGACAAAAAAAAAAAATCCAAGTAAGTACGGCATTCGGCCAGGTTATCATGGTACGAATCTGGTGAGGCTGGGACAGATGCTGAAGAGTTAATAATCATAAAAGAGCCATGGCCAGAATGGCTCAAGAGTTAGGACCTAAGAGAGCAAGAAGATTCAACAGGAATGAAAATTTAGCAGCATCCATCATGAACTCAGACTAGGTGATGGTACCACAGGTGGAGTCCAGTCCCAAGTCCTGGAAAAAAAAAATTGGAAGTCAACAGTGTTACTTGGGAGTCTCCATAGGGCACTAGGACCCAGATAGGACCACTTGCATTGCTCCGTCCTGTCTGTTCTCCAGTCATCCTCTGGAACCACAGACTGCTTGTCACCACCCCTTCATCTTGCCTGCTTCTCACTATATGAAAATGGGGCAGGCAGTGCTGGTGGGAGGGAGCCGCCCTTCCAGAACTCTGTGTCCTTTCACTTCCTGTAACACTTCTGCCCTCCGTATGTGCAATACTGTCCACCACTTTGTTCACTTACATAGTCTCAGCACTTTCATCTTTTCTGCATATGACAGGCTGCAGAGAGGTTAAGAGACCCAACTCAGCTGGTAGAAGGACTCAGTTTTCACATTCCACTTGAATACTTAGTGTCTGATCGGCTGAAGTTACTTAATCTCTTTAGAATCCTGTTTCTTCCTCTGTAAAAATAAAGCAATAACAACAGTATTAAAGAAATGAGTGCTTTTGAACATAAAATGATGATGTGTGTGAAATGATGATAGCTTGGCGTCACAATAATAGTTATCACCATTATTATTATTACTAATATTGGGCCTTATTACTGTTACCTCGGCCTTGTGTGATAGACTGTACAGGCACACTCACATCACAAATGCAAGCTCACACAAGAATGCATATTCTCAATTCAGATCTAAAAAGACTTAGTTAAATGACCTAAGGTTAAACTATAATTTGAAGAGCTATCACAGTAGGCCTTTGGTTCAGTGTCTCACTGGGCAAACCCAGAAATCAGTATCAAAGAAATCCAGAGAAAATATTCAGACCTCAGAATGATGTCTTACAGAACCATGCAAAGGTGGAATCCTACTAAAATGTGCCACACTGTAGTTCTGAAAAGGGGGGTGGGGGGCAGGTCCTGTGCTCCCATTCTCAAGTCAGTCAAGATGATTTAAAATTGTTTTGATTGGGCTGGAGAGATGGCTCAGTGGTTAAGAACACTGGTTGTTCTTGCAGAAGACCCGGGTTCAAATCCCAGTACCCACATGGCAGCTAACAAATGTCTGTAACTTCAGTCCCAGGGGATCCGGCAGCCTCTTCTGACCTCTGCGGGCATTGCACGACACGGGTACACTTACCTATATGCAAGCAATATATGCATACACATAAATTGTTTTTAAAAATTAAAATAAAAAATTGTTTTGCTTGCCACTTTCTCCTCAATATTGGAAGGTAGACATTCAATAGAGCTTCACCCAGATTATTCTCATGCATGTGCATGCATCACCCAGTTCATTTATTTTGGTATAATAAGCCATCATGAAACTGTTCATTAAACCATAACATAACCATTTTTTCCTCCCAAATCTGCAGTTTTTTCAGGATTCAGGAGAAGAGGGTTGCCTTTGCTTTAGATGGCTTCTGTTGGGGCAGCTCAGAAGGGAGGTAGAGGATATGCTGTCAAATCTAGATAACCTACACAGCTGAGTTCAGCTGACAGCTGGTAGTCTCTGTTCCTCTACATTCCCTCCTTGTTTCATGGACTGCCTCACATCATGGCTACCAGGTCTAAGGATGAATGTCCTGTGAGAGACAGGCAAATACGTCATTTCTATGACCTCACTACAAAAACTCTCAAAGAGGCACCTCTGTTCTACTCTGGAGGGAAGGTGCTGAAGCCATGATCTACATTTTCCAGGAGAGGGGAATGAGCACCTTCTGGTGGTGAGGCAGGATAAAGTTTTGAAACAACATATGGAGTGGGAAATAAACATTTGTGTGTTCCACATAAATTATATACATTTATTTTTCTATGCATATATTTTATATTCAAACATATATTCCATAATCACACATGCACATGTATAAATGTATATATGATATGTAATCTATTTTAGCTGCATAAAATAACAACCACACTCAAGCACTATCTATTTTCATTTTGTCTGTAGCAGTTATAAGTATGTGACACATTATCTTTTTATTTGTATGTCTCCCTTTGACTAGAACAAAGCTCCACAGTAGCAGAAAATTCATATTTTCTTTACTGCTATATCCTTGTTATCTAAATCACTGCCTGACAATAGTATATGTTCAATTTATTTATTGAATGAATGAATCCGTGCATGAATGGCTGCAACCACCAATGTATAGGACCATAAATTCACTGGTAATAGATACTGGCTGTCAGGTTAGATGCTGAGATATCAGCTAAACGAAGGTCCACAGCCCCACCTTCCATACATAACAAATTCAACACATGATAAAGAAAGAATGTCATCCAGGCTCCTTCCACATGTGGCATTTCCCATCCCATGGAAAATGCAACTCCCATAACCACTTTTCCTCTACATTTTACTTTGCTAGAGTAAAATGGACCATTGCTAGAAGGTTCAGGAGAGGTAATTTTTGAATGGCAGCTGTGAAGTATTAAGAAAAAAAGGCAGTGCCAGATGTAAAGGTTTTATTTGCCCTCCACAAGATGGAATTCGTGATGCCTCATAAAATCACAGTTAATAAGCTGCCTGCTTTGCCTTGAGGTGTTTCCAGTAGTTCATAATAGCACTTATTTCAGGAAGTTTAGGAGTTGTTACCCACAAATATCTTTTGGCACATTAAGAATCAAGTAAAAATGAGGAGAAAAGACCGTGTTTGCCTTTAGAAAAATTAAAGCCCTCAAAGCATGATGAGCAATAAAGAACCGCTCCACGCCTTGTGTCAGGCATGAGATGCTCTAATGAATCCTTTATCGCGGGTTCCTCCACAGCGTTACCTGGAGACACTTTATATTGAATGCAGCGTATATTACCCAGTCCCTCCTTGACACCATTGAGTGGTCTCTTTCATAGACATTTTGGTTCCGATAAAATGCTACCTAATTCTAAATAGGAAAAAACAACCAAAAATTTGTGTGTTACATTTTCTGTAGAACAGAATTTTAAAGATCTTAAATTTTGATTGCATACAAAAAAGAACAATATTAAATGTTGTAGTATAACATTCAGCACTCCTTGGAGGAAATCAAACATCTCCGTAATCAAGATTTCATCAAAATAATCTTGTTAAAGCACAAAAAAGAGTCCATCATTGAAACCTAAAAACTGGTAATAATTGATGACTTCTCCTAAATTTTCTTCTAATTTCAACATTGATCTAAGATCACAGATAGTCATACATGTGATAATTAAAACATGCTTAAAATAAATACATGAACAAAGGAACTATGTATTAACCACTATTAGGGCATGATCTTCCCAGCATTTTTAAGATGATGGTAGTGCATTTGAACCATTCTAAAAGCTCTGCGAGCCACCAAGTAAAAAGAGATGTGAAACTTGTCTTTAAAGACATGCTGTTTACTCTTGCTTCTTGTGGACATAATATAGGGGCCTAGGTAAGAATCATCAGAAGGACTGGGTGACAAAATGTTTAGTTTTCTATACATAAAAAATAGATAACCATAGTTGAAACCACAATACAAGTGTTCACTGATACCACCATTATTGTTATTATCATGATACAAAACCCTTTTATATATACATACACTATACTTTAAAGAATTTATTTATCACCAAATGCTTTGAGATGGGTGCTATTAGCCTTCCATTTAACAGTTGAATAGACTGAGGAACAGAAAAGGTAAATGTTTGAAAGCACCACAGAGCTCTGGGTGGAGATAGTTTAGTACTTGATCATCAGAACAGTTCAGACTTTTATGCATATGGCTGGACTCCTTCAAGAAGACACAGCTCATTGATACAAAAAGAACCAAAATTCTAATTCAACAAATGTGACATAATAAAAATATGGAACATCACCATATACTGAGATACAAGCTGTGCAGTGCAGCTCCAGAGAATAGTGCCTGTTATTATCCTCACCTGTGAGGGGCTGGCTTTCCCTCACTGCAGCCATTCTCAATATATGCCAAGAATTAGTTTATCTATTCTCTGAAACAAGTCCGAATAGTAGATACATGCTTAATAATGAAGAATTTGTTCTAAGTAGAGGTAACTAACAAAGCCCAAGATCAAGCATCTGGGAAAGGTTCTTGTAGGGATAAGGGGGGCATGTTAATAAGGGATGAAAAAGAGAGAAGAGGGTGGGCTGGAGACAGCAGTTAGGATACATCATATACATCTGTAAAATTGTCATAGAACAAACCTAATCAATTAAAAAAAAACTACACAACTTGTCATGTTAACAATCAGCAATTTCTTTGAAGTCATCTGACTTCAAATCGTGTGGTCCTCCTCCTGAACCCATAAGAGAATTGCCAGCAGAGCCAGTAAGGACTGTCAATGCCTGGCCCCAACTCTAAGGAATAATTTAACAGCCTCAGGTAGGACCTGGGACTAGGT